AAACACAAAGGCCATTGAAGTTTGTCCAGTGGAAAAAAAGCTACTTAGTAGTACTTTCCACAGTGAAAAACACCGAAAAAAGGGAAGTGATCGAGGTGAAGGACACAAAGGTCACTTTAACATAGACGCCTTGACAACAAATCATGCGATCCACAGGTTAACAAATTGATTTGGAGTCTGCTTAAATGAGACCTAAGCTAAAATGATATTGTTCAGTCACATAGTTCTCTTCACCAAAAGTCTAGGCACTTCAGCTAAAGAAACATGAGAAATTAGTTCAGGTAATGGAATGATCGAAAGCTAGTCAGATGAAGTTTTACCATTTAATCTTGGTGTCATGAGAACTGAGGGCGTATATTAAATTGTGTCCCTACCATTTAAGCAAACGTTATGGCAAAAAGGGTGAACAGAAATAAGTCGATTTTAATTCCACAAAAAGTCCAGAAATTGTCCAAAGCAATGACCCCAAGAAGTGAAGGTTTACAAAAATGTCATTAACGGTCACTCAATTACTGAAAAATGAGTTACTGCCAATGACGCAGGGAGCGTGAAAATACAAATATTCAAGGAAAGTAAACCTGCACCGGACGGCCAACTTACATTTCCATCGCCACGACCTGTGGTGAAGATAGTGTGAATGATGTTGAGGTAGGGGAAATCCACTTGGATCCACTCGTTCATCGCCGTCTGCACTGTGCTATTTGGACACCAGGCACGTCCACTAGCGTGATCCTTCCCGGCGTACAAGCTGATCAGTCTGAAGGTCATGCAAAATGAATCAGCAGATGCGTGAATTAAATGAATACAACTGTGCGTGAAACTTCGATGGCGCATACCTAGCGCGATAGGGTCGAAACTCGGCCAGATTTTGTCGGACACTGCTGGCGCTGAAAGCATTGTCTGGCAGTTTGGCCTGAGTGTCCATGAGGCGGCTGTCGCATCCCCTCTCATCACTGGGACCTCGGCGGACAACTTAAAGAAAAAATATTGATGCACGCATAGTGGTTATTAGCCAGCTTTGGCCGCCCTTTTGATTCTGTTTTTTATAACGTCTCTAGAATTTTCAGTACTGAGTCAGGAAGCTTTCGGTAACAGTGACCGCCTCGTGCATTGACATTTAGAATTTAGCCCTCCATCCGCTGCATGGGTGTGTGCACCAGGCACTACCAGCGTTACTTTCCCATCAAGTTAGGTTACACTACAGGAAATACGAGGGGATGACCAAAAGAAGGAGTTGAACAATTATAGGCCTTCTAGAGTTGAATGAGAGTAGGAGGTTATGGGATACCCTTTAATTCACACACACGGAAAAACCAGTTCACAAAGGAGGGCTATGATGGTTGCCGCAAGGACGGTCACCGGTCACCCACGAGGCCAAGAGGGCAAGAATAGACGGGATGGGATGAGTCACTTTACTATTGCAACGGGCAGGACGACAAGCTTCTAAGCACACCACCACGGGACCACCCGCTTGCCATTTCAAAACAGCCGCACACATACGAGTGGAAATGAGTGGGGACAAGGCGACGCACGAATAAATGTGTGATTAATGGATGTGCCCAATTCGAGGTGAGGATGAGTGTGAATCAATTCCAGCCATCCAGAAGGACGGAGACAACCCAAGAGGCAACTTTTTTCGACTATGCGCGTGTATGCTTGTGGTGACATTGGTGGATGTTGATGCCAAACAGCTGATGCAAAAAATGACATTTACAAATACGCAGGAAGGAAGAAAAGAGGCGAGATATAATCCAGACAAATACTAAGTCCCTGTTGATTTCTCAATCTCGAGCAACCGAAAAACAGCGCATTCGTGCTCATCGATTCTGAGTGCAATTGTCGCCATGTGACCCAATGACCCTAGCTCAATTCACATTTCATCAATGAAATCAATGAGAAATGCGCATAAGTGTCCGAGTAGATCGCTTCCTCCTGTTTAGGGTCAACCGCGAATAAGTGGCCTCAAGAAGTTGCAAAGCATGTGAGAGAAGTTGAGCCGCAGTTTCACAACAATAACACTTAGTAGAAACTGACATTCCCGGTGAGAAGAGGAAGAAGAAACGAGATAAGAGAGGAACCGCCAGACACAACTCAGTGATGACTCCTTAATACCAAGTGCCAAATATCAGAAACGGGCAACACCCTCTCCGTACATTCGCGTTTGTCTTTAAAAAATATGTAGAGTACTCATTTTCGCCCTCCATCTCTGTCTCGGTCCATCATGAAAAAATGAGACAGGTTCAAGAGGAGGGGGAAGGCAAGGAGGTAAACAGAAATGAGAAGCCAGATAATCAATCAACGGGACAGGGAAAAACTCGCAGGCAAGTGCTGGTGTGAATCTAATTAGGGTCGCGTGTGGACAGGAGCTGGGTTAGCGCGTACCCTTAATCAAGGGAAGGGGTGAAGAAAGCGGAAAAAAGACGCTAATTAGGTAACCATGCTTCTACGTTTGATTTATACCCAAAAAAGCATAATGGAAGATAGAGGGTTGAGCCAAAACACCTTTACGTATCACTCCCTAACTGAGTAAGCCACGTGTGGAGGTTGCCCAAACTTTGCCTTCATATCTAATAGCACGGTAGCACAAAAACCGACCATGACTAAAAAAGGTTTCCTTTTCAGGGGGGTGGTCATTCTGACATTTGGGACACTAATTAATGCTCTTAAGATTGACAAAAAGATAAGACACCGTGGTTACTAATGCCTTGACAATAGGGGAAGAGACGGATAAGATGCAAAAAGCATGATAAGGTAATCGTATTACACTAGATTATGTTGATTACAAAAGAGAGGACCCACATGAGTGGTGACAAAAGCTCCATACATGTGGAGACGCAAAAGCAATGTGTGCTGACTAAGGCCTGATAGAAAAGGAAGAGTCGTAAAATCTATGAGTATTCAGGGAGAGAGGGCATCAATTGTTAGGCGTTCGCAATCACTATCTCCCCCCCCCCACCCCAACCCCCTCTCTCCAGTCACTAAATGTGGCGTAGCTTGAAAAAGAGTAGAGAAAGGGGGCTGGGAGTGTCACGCTAGGGAGTGATGGATGCGAAGTCCACAAAGGCAGACGGGATGACTGCTGTCCAGCCAAGATAGGCGAACAGCACCCTCTATCCATCTAGCCCTCAGTTGATTTGCAACTGGTACAAGGGTAGATCAATACAGTACTGAAAAAGTGGAACAAAAAAAGAAGGCTTTTTGACCGAGAGACCTGGCCCATTTGAGGCCGGAACTGCCATTACTAGGGAAGTGAATAAAGTACGACGAGGCAGTGCGTGGACTGAATTTCACACGCGATCCTGGCTTTGGGGCTGGCGAGCAGGAAGCACAGAGAGGTAGCATTCACAAGAATTTGGCGTTATTTCGATGACATCAAACGCCAATCAAACGGCGAAATGTGAAACTCACGAGAACTTATGCGAGTGAAGAACCACATAGCCTTTTTCTTGCCACCACAAAAAACTTCTGTGAAAAAATGCTAGCAAGAGACTTTACCGCCGTGAGATTATCCGACGAAACCCAAACACCTTCATGCAGAGAATACAAAAATGATCTACTAGAATATCGAAAAAGTTAGTCCTATTTCCTGCCTAAATATTTGGCTATCCGCTTACAGGATAGATCAACTATACTATCAAATTTCCAAGCTGTCAATCGAATAGGAGTATATTTTACATAACCCAAGCTTAACTCACTTTCGATAGTTTTAGAATACTCTACAAGGAAGGCGCAAGCCGTGATGAGGGAAAAGTAAATCCAGGAGAAATGCAGCATGGCTGGAGTAGGAAAGAGACTGATAAATCCAAAGAAGCTAGGAGGGCCTTGAGTGACTATTGGCACCGTAGCATATTTTCCACAAATGGCAGCTCAGATGTGGAGGAGAGCCGTAGGGCAGTGAGACAGCCTGTGAGAGCGGGCTAGTGGGGAGCAACTCGTTGAATAAGCGAAATAAGTTGCAGCCGCAGTTTTCTGATCATTTTGCGGTTTGCGTCGACGGCGTGAGTTTGTGAGAGTAGCTAACCAATTAGCGGGGGGAGACTGATGGAGCGCATTTCAGATTCCGCCATCTGACTGGCTCACTATGTCAACCAATCAAGGGCTTGGGCTTTCCCCAAGTTGGCGTAAGCCTCGCGTCGATTGGATGGATAAGTGTCCACCTAACGTCCGTTCTGTTGCATTGCGAAGTTGACTTGATGTCTGGCGGGGATAGTCCTTGTACACATATCCACTTTTAACGTGTGATCACTCGTTGGTGGCGAAGAGAAGGGGTCACTCAAATCAAGGAGTTGGCAAATTGGCATAGCATTGAATTTTCTGTGCGACTGTGGGGTGTGGTAGTAAATAGTTTGGTTACTGGTTTATTGACAATAAACAATCTGTTTAATCCATTTAGCAACCAAATTGCAATTGTGGTTTTTGTTTAGCAAGACCGCCTAAACTGGCCCCCACAATCTGTGACGGTTTTGGATTTCAATCAGCCTTTTTTGATAACAAATGGTCATGCTTTTGTGTGGAAATCGGAAGAAGAAAATAAATGTCAAAGTTTTGTGTGCTTGGACTTTGACAAAAAGGAAACTTTGGACCTAAAGGAAGCAGAGATTTCTGTATTCGCTTGAGAGAGTCGAAAAAGCTAATTGGTAAACACAGTATAATCGGTCTCTTTTCCTCTACTTCATGATAAAACAAGTGGAAGCCAAAGTTTCATTTTAATAGTTTATTCGTTTTCTTTTCAAAACAGTATCTATGCCTGAGGAGGAAAAAATCCACTTCTCAACTGGTTTAGTTTCGGTGCCGTTTTTTTAATTACGAATTGTTTCCTGTTCAGGAGTAAAGATGCACGCTGTCGCCGTAATCCTTGTAGCTGAGAAAAGATATTTTTCATTATATGAGGGGCGATTTTACAGAAAAACATAGGAATTCTTTTAACTTCTGTAAGCTTAGTAAATAATGCACACATTTAGACCAATACGAGGCTCTTGAAAGCAGCTTCAAGTGTAAAAAATGGTACTTCATGAAATGGAATGGAAGTAAAATTCACTCCGAACTTATGTGAAAACACAACTAGGGTCACATGTGGATTTTGACTATTTAAAGCAGACCACCGCCCCTCTTATGCGGGTATTTAATTGTAGACTTTCTGATAGGTTTTGCTAATTTTTATTCCTGTGACTTTCCATTATTACACCGGTTGAAACAGGAAATAAGGCTTATTCAAAATTAACACAACATTGACAACTAGTGCCGTTATTCAGGCAAATATAGTTCAGTGAAATAAAGCGGAATTTAAAAAAGAAGTATTATGAATTTTCACCATTCAACTAGAACTAACAGCACTTTAATTTGTAAATCTGAATGTTACCATGTTTAAGTAATCCCACTGATCATTTGTTACTACGAGGTAGATAAGTAAATTTGGGTTCTTTAAGAAAGCATTAAACATGTTCACGATGCCTTAAAATCGTAACCATCTTCACCTACAAGTCCATCTCAACGGGGCACACGCCCACTGCAAATTCCACGTCCATACAAGGTTTTGTATCTAAGGCCAAAAAGCCGCCTCCTGGTCACCTCCATTTCCATCTCACTCTTCTTTCCCAAATGTCTTCTCTATATACCAATACCAAGAAAAGGTGAAAAGTATCACTTGGAGAAAAGTGCAGGAAATGGAGAGGGTGCAGTGAAGTGATGTGAGACAATTACTCTCCTCCCTTTCATTCTCCCCTAAAGTGTGAATATTGTCACGGTTAGGTCCTCTGGTGACATTGGGTGTGAAGTCTTACATTGTCTCGAAGCGTAAGAGTGGGACTTTCTCCTCGCTGAGTCACCAGGCTTGTCTGTCCTAACCGTTTTTGAAGAAGCAGAAGTAGAAGAAGTTGCCTTACAGATATGCGAGTTGTATCTGGTTGAGTCGAGTGGATGGGTAAGGAGATTGATATTAGTCCCATTTACTGTTTGGCCCTTGACAAGTGAACAATTCATAGTGATTTATTCTATCTGAAGTTTATCACATACAAACGCACTGACGTAGGATGGACTTGTGTGAATGAAAAGGGTGGTACCTGTCATAGGAATATGGTGAGTGGATCTTCTGGACATAACCGTTGATGTCTACGTTCTCTTGAAAAATTTTGCAATACATACATCCATACACAAAAGGGCCACTTCCATCACAAGTCATTCAGTCATCTCGCTAACCACCCTCGCCCAACGCCTGACTTTGACAACCCACATGGAAGAGGGGAAAAGCAGTATTATAGATTTGGGAGTTTGTTTCCATCTGTGAGCACTTAGCGGGTGGGTGAAATCCATTTGCCCAGCTTCCACCACAACTTCCCCGTTGATGCGCACACAAACCAATTGTTTCCGCATCACTCATTAAGCATTGTTTTTAATTATCCCAATCAGTAACGACACGTCATTCCCTATTCTGATCAAGAACAGAGGCTCTGTCCCCCTAAAAGCGATGCCCCTTCGTCTGGTGATTCATCAACAGGCTCAAAGATTTGCCATCGCTTCTGGGCTGGACGTTCTGCCACTACAAGCTACGCTCTTTCCAACTGATGAACAAATGTCGCCCAAAATCTTTGCAGCTCTGAAGTCCAGTCAGACTGGGTCCCTGGAGGATACAAGCTCCATCACATCCATCAGGTCTAAGCCATACTTGATGATGCGATATGGCAGGAAAACAATGGACAGGTAAAAAGGTGAGAATACGCATATAAGCCTTATAATATATGCATACAAATAAAGGCATGCATTTGTATTTGATAAATGTTTACGAGTTACAGGAAGTTCTTGCAGCACTCAGTGCCAAGAACCGCATGAATTTTTTGGTCATCTGATTATTTATGGAAAAAAGAGGTCCAATATTTATCCACCAATCGTCCATTCCACACTTTTTAAACCTATTTTCGCAAACAGTAATTGGAGCAAAACCTTTGACTATGAAAGTGAAGTAATTATAGATTTATATATTACGACAACGCGGAGTTGTGGTGACCGCGTTTCACAATAATATGAAATTCACTTTCCTTGGCGTATACGGAAAATAAGAATATTACGCATACTGATTACTGCCTGGATTCGGCCTTGAAATCTTTTCTAAGTGGCCTCCATTCGCGGCGGCTACCTCGTACTAAATGATAGACACCAACTGATCGAAAATAATTCTTTCAATGACCTACTAAACCTAGAAATCTCTGCAAGGTTCTAGGCAGAAGACATAGGGGTCAAGTATTAAGAGAAGTTAATCGTAAAAAATTTGGACCTAGCAGTCTACTGAAACATGTAAGCTCACTCCTAAGAAGCTCTCGCTTGTTTTAATTTTTGGCAACCTTAACCACTGCCTGTATGTAAAGCCACTGCAATGTACTTTGGGCCTTGGGGAAAAATAGGGGCCCCCAACGTGACCTTTGCTCATTTTTTAGATTTCGGTGGCAATAATCTGGACTTGCTAAAAATGTCTGCCTTTCACGAAATATCTCATGACGCCCAAAATGGCCACTGAACAGCAAACATGGGATGTAAATCTGAAGGTAGTTTTAATTTACTAGACCAGTAGCGCAGGTGCCATTAAAAGGGTTCTGGCCACTGTCCTGAATGAATATTAGCGAAAGATTGTACATGCTCGCATGATATTGTATTTTCTTCCAACTAATCAGTCTTTTGATAGTGTGTTTTTTATTGCCGCTGATTAAGCAGAAGCCATTTTCTACCTTTAAACATAACAGGGATGATAGCTTTTTATAGGGGCTTCCTTCGAAGAAGTACTAGAGATAGTGGTTAGGGTGGGGGAGAACGAATAGCCGCTATGTCACCTTTGTAATAGCCACAGTGCTCGTGGGGTGTTATAAAATGAAGACAAGTTTAAATTGTTTGAGTTCTGCAGTCATTCTAACCTCCAACAGTTCGAGAAGCATTAAAAGGGTTTTTTGAACAGCATGCATGGTTGCATTACCGATAAGTCCGTGGAATTGCGACATTCCGAGCATAGCCAGAGCATAAAAGCGATGAATAGCAGAAAACAGAAGAGTCTGGTGGGACGTGATTCGACAACAGGTTATTGCTCAATACTTCAAACATAACTTCAATTGGATTTTAAAAACAGTAAATTCTAAAAACAGCAGGAGATAGGCTTTATGGTTGGTAAGGAGGAAAATCTCAATTTTCAATGAAGCTAATTAAAGCAAGTCTTTAGTTTGATTATGGAAGCAGTGGCTCGAACTCAGTCCTCATCACAAAACAGCCTAATACGCTGTAATTGTCAACAGGGGGGGGGGGGGAGCACAGTCTTCACCTTGGACGACAACACGACAAGTCGGTGGGGGGAAGGCGGACGATGCCGTCAATCAATAAGGCTGGTCTCGCTTTCGGCACCCGACCTCGGCAGTATGCAAATGAGGCGGCGAGATGATGCTAGGTGAAAAACAGAGCGAGAGAACAACTCCGTCAACCATGCAACTCCAGACTGTGCTACGCATCCTTCCTCGACTGAAGTGAATAAATTTGCATTTAAAATGATTGTTATTTGAGCGGATTGTCATCGGTGTTAATTTTGAGAGTCAAAAACAGCTGGTAATGCAAAGTTAATATACAAAAGATTATTCTCCCCCCTCTCGGAACAGGCTTCTTCAGCCTGCTAATTTAGTGTGGGTATTGAAAAAAACCAACCAGCCACAGACCCATGCAAAAAGTGCACAAACACATGGTTGAATTCATTAGCCTGATGTGAAGTTTCATCCAATTGCTACGTAGCTGCTTATAAGAAACAAGGTTGAAATACTGCAGATCCTAATTGTTTACACCGCTGTAGAATCCGCAAATTCGTACAAAAAGGGCAAGTAGTACACTGTAGTAAATAAAAAATACACATCCGTTTCGTTGTGTATTTGCGGCTATCCTGAGTGTGCGTGCGTGCGTGCGCGTGGAATGTAACATGAAACCTGAGAGAGAGACTCTTTTTTGAGCTGTTCCCCCAGTGCCTGCGTGAGCACTCTAGTCATACTGCAGAAGAGAGCTTCGAGGCAGGAACATTTTTAAATGCCACACTTAGACAACTCCCTGGCTTTATGTAAAGTCACCGCCATGTGATTCATGCCTTGAACTCGATGCCAAAGTGGCGGCAGCGTTTGTTGCACCAATTTGAGCTCAATCGATTTTTAAATGCCGCTTGGTGATTGGATTGTCCTGTCCAACGTTATTTCTCCTCCATTTTCGGTCCCTTTTTTCAACCCAGTGTAAAACATTAACCAGCTCTACATATTGTTCCTACAACACTGTTAATTTCTTCTCGTTTGCAAAGAGAAGCAGGACTTTAGTGTTCGTTTCGTGATTGATGTGTGTCCATCCTTCAATCGAGAGGCTACTAGGTGGAGCGTGGTCAGAAAAAAACCACTGCTACCTTTAAGAGGTGCATTGTTGAAGAACATGGTCTCATGATTGCCTGCTACCATAAAAGTAGACTGAATTTTTGCGTTGAAAACGCTTTTTTTACCAGAAACTATTAGTGACATGTAGCAAGTTATTCATGGCTCAAGCATTCCACGAAATGCGAATGCTCTTGTCGAT